GCCCCCATCTTCCCGTCCCACCCGCTCCAGGTGAGAGCTCACCTGACGCCGGGCCTGCCGCAGGGTGCGGCGGCGGAACGTGAAACCCCCGGGGCCTGGAGAGGAGGGGATGGGGTCCGAGGCGGGGACCAGGGAGTTTGTGCCTCTCCGGGCGCGGGGGAGGGACGCGCAGGATTCTCTTCCCCGAGGTTCAGGCGGTGGGGGGCGTAGGAGGAAGGAGGCGCCTGGAGTCTGGTCGTGTCCGCTCTCCTGCCCGGCGGGTGCGGGTCTCTGCCCCCGTCCCGGGACACCGAGGGCGGGGCCGGGTCCCGACGCAGAGCTGCTCTCCCGGAGCGGGAGATCCACGTCTAATGGCTGGGGGACCCTGTTGCCCAGCAAAAGGAGTCCTGGGGGGGTCCCTTAGTCAGAGCGGAGAGGGGAAAGGAAGCCCTCTTTCTAAACAGGAGACTGTGTCCAGGGTGAGACGCACAGCGTGGGCCTCGGTGGGCGTTTGACAAAGTGCTGCTGTCGTTCTCGGGACAAAAACCCAGATTCTCTGGTCAGTGGGGCAGGTAGAGCGCGGTAGAGGTGGGAGGCCGAAGAGGAACCAGCTTTCCACGGTGTGTAGATGCCAGAACCTCTGTCACACAGGTTGGGAATCTCTGTTTGGCTTGTTCTTTGTAAAAGTTTACCCCCCATTCCTGCAGCGAAGGTGCAGTGATCAAGGCAGTGGGCGGTGCTCGTCAGGGAGGGAGACATACAACAAATGACCCAAGCGAAATTTAAAATGTTTCTGAGAGTCTTGAACACTGGGTCGAATCAAGCAAAACAAAATATAACTTGCACTGAATGTCAAGATCTGCATGAAAATTTCCCCCCCACAATCAGCCATGCGTGCAGAACATCAGGAGACAGCAGCCTTGGCTTTGTGGTGGATGCCAGCTTGATGAGGGGCTGGGAGACTGGTGGGGAGATGGGAACTGCCATGTTAGGTGATGAAGCTCCCCCCCACCCCCGCCCGGCCATAGCGAACCTCCCTGAGCTCAGTTCCCTTGTCAAACAAGTGGAGTGATTAGATGACCAAGGATGTTTAACAATTCTGCCAACTCTACCAAATAACATGGTTCTATTTATTGAGGCACACAACCCAGCGTGGTGGGCAGAGACCTGGCATCAAATCACGTAAATCATGAACCCCAGATGTGAAATGGAGGTGATGACAAATGTCTCTCGCAGGATTTTTGTACAGATAAGACTGATGCCAAATGCCAGGCAGGTGCTGGCACTCAATATCGGGTTGTCATTACAACTGCAGGCAGGACCAGAGGTGTGCTGGTGAGTGATGACATGCTTTTGGGGGGTGGACGGGTATCTGATTTGTATCATTTGCTGATTTCTGGGCTGTAAATATTCCCACCATGGCTGATTTCAAGCTACCAATGTGGTGTCATCCCTGATCTCGAGTTAGGAAGAGATTTGCACAGTTGGCTCTGCAAGCCAGTCTGAGCTGGCTCCAGCACACCACTGGTAAGACCCTGAACCAGGCTCAGTGAGGTTCAGAGGAGGGGGGCCAAGTTGGGCCAGCATGAGTCAGAGAGGAGGAAGAGTGCCCACCAGGCCCTGCCATGCCCAATGGGCACCTGAGTGCAGGCAGGTGGGGAGGGAGCAACTCCAGGTCCAGCTTGGGCTTACCCCAGCGGCCCCTCCTGTCCTCATGCGCAAAAGCACACACTATATACACAAGCACGCACAAGCATGCACGTGCCTGGAGAAGGTGGGGGAAGAGGGCAGAGCACATTCTCCCAAAGTGCCGCATTTTCAACATTTCATAAAAGTTACATGTTGACATCTGACAGTTAAGGCTGTGATGCAAAGAAGTCGGAGGAAGCATCAAAGATTCAATGGAGATATCAGTGGCTGGATAGTGAGATACACAGAAAACATCCAGAAGGATGTTCTTGAACGCCCACTAGCCAACGGTGTGGACCCCGCCCTTGGGCTCTTTCCTCTTGACGTTAGAACTGTGCAGGTCTCTGCCTGCTGGGATGACTCCCAGCTTGCCCATGAAGGCTTCAGAGTTCTGCTTCTGTCTTTCTGGTCAACAGGGCTTCACAGAACTGCCCAAGTGGCAGCACCTGTTGCTGATAATTTCAACAGCAGCTCCTGTGTACCAAGCTCTGTGTGTGTGCCAGGCCCAGCACATGGTTTTGCTGAAGTCTCACACCCCCTGTGAAGTTAGGGCAATCGTTATCCCCATTGCATAGATGAGGAAACTGAGGCTCAGAGAGCTTAAGTAGCTGGTGCCTGTGACCCAGCTCTAAGTAGTGGAAGCAGGAGTTGAGCCCAGCCCCAGTGGAACTGTCACACAGGTTGTGGCTCATGTTTGTGGCTGGCTGAGAGCTGCCCAGGCCCAGCCCGCCTCACAGTGGCCTTTGCATAATTCAATCTTACGGAGCATTATGTACCTCCTAAGGGCTGACCCTTAAGGGGCTCCAGTCTGAAGGGGGAGCTGGTGGTAAAAATAGCTCATCTCCACAGTTGTGGTGTTGTGGGATTCCTGAGGAAGGACATGAGGGGTGGCCCTCGGGACTTGCAGCCTTGTGCCATAAACGATTTGTTCCTCCCACCTACCCCTCTGCCCCGTGAGCTCCTCAGGGCAGACCTGTTTCACTTCTCTCTGCATCTCCAGAGCCTGGTACAGGGCCCAGCACATGGTAGGTGCTCAGGACATATGTGTTGTTGCCAGCTTATAACTTTGGGCTGTGCCTTTTTCTGGGGCTACAGAGATAGAAAGTGTCAGACTGACACAATGCTTGCTCACAGAAGCACCCCCTCCCATGCTCAGACACGTGCTGTATCTCACACACACACACACACACACACACACACACACACACAGACTTTGACACTCTGCAAGTCAAGTCCAGGCATTCAGTGACACATGGCTCCCCCACACCTGCCCCATGGATGTCTAAATTCCTAGGCAGACCCACAGCTGCTCCTGGACCCACACGTTCACACAGGTCTGCCAGAGAGGCATTCTTAGACAGCCACGTGCAGCTACCTGTCTCCATGAACCAGCCCAAGGCAGCTACGGCTTGCGGATGGAGTTCTCCTCTCCCCCTACATGCACAAACACACACACACACACACACAAACGTGTCGCTGAAAGGCTTGCGATGGCTGCATCAAATCCAGCTCCAGGATGTCTCCAGACCTCTCCCTCCTCCCCCCCCAGGAACCAGCTGTCTTTGTCTGGCCCCAGGTCCCCCACAACTCCAAACCCCAGCCAAGCCCAGGCCCCAGGCAGAGCCAGGCAATCCCCTGAGCTCACCGCCAGGCCATGAGCTAGCAGAAAGGAAGAATTCCAGCTGGCCATCTCCCTCTAATCACCCTCATGCTGCACTGGAAATGGACTCGACCTGACCGGAACCGGGGCAGGCAATGCCCAAGCAGCTCCGAGGGGAGGCATCAGTGCCCAGGCTAGGTCCGAGGCCCGGCTGCTCAGGAGAGCTGGTCCTGGGGAGGCCCCACCAGGACTGGTGTGGGTGTGCTCACCTGTCCTTCTGCCTGTCCTTCCCCCGTCCCTGTGACTGGCCTTTTTGCTGTGGCCTCATCATGACTACTTCTGTTTCTATGCCTCCCGTCCATCCTGCCCCCACACATTTGAAGCAGACTTGACTCTCACTTGCATTATTTGTCTCCAGGATGCTGTGAGGTAGCATGTCGGGCGTCACTGTCCCCTCTAGACAGATAGGACACTAAAGTCCAGAAAGGTGAGTAACTTCCTTCATGTCATAGAACTCACTGGCACTTGGTGATTGGGGACCTGAGTTTCCAGAACATCAGACTGAAATAAGACTGAAACTAAGTGGGAAAAGTAGGCTACTGAATCCCACATGAAGGAGACTCATGGCTATGCTTGAAAACAACAAGGAAAGATGGTGGAGAAAGACACCAAAATATGGGCCGGCCCTGTGGCTTAGCGGTTAAGTGCGCGCGCTCCGCTGCTGGCGGCCCGGGTTCGGATCCCGGGCGCGCACCGAGGCACTGCTTCTCCGGCCATGCTGAGGCCGTGTCCCACATACGGCAACTAGAAGGACGTGCAGCTATGACATACAACTATCTACTGGGGCTTTGGGGGCGGGGAAGGAGGAGGATTGGCAACAGATGTTAGCTCAGAGCTGGTCTTCCTCACAAAAAAAAAAAAAAAAAAAGACACCAAAATGTTAAAAAAGTAGGTGCTTTGGAGGTTGAAAATGTGGGTAAGAAATGTTTTTATCCTCTTTGTATTTTCCAAATTTTCTATTACAAGCATGTTTAACATTTATAATGAAAAGAAAATTCCTTAAAAGGAAGAAGGGACAGGGGCCAGCCTGGTGGCATCGTGGTTAACTTCACACACTCCGCTTTGGCGGCCCGGGGTTCGAGGGTTCGGATCCTGGGCGCACTCCTACACACCACTCATCAAACCATGCTGTGGTGGTGTCTCATATACAAAATAGGGGAAGATGGGCACAGATGTTAGCTCAGGGCAAATCTTCCCCAAGCAAAAAGAGGAAGATTGGCAACAGATGTTAGCTCAGGGCCAATCTTCCTCACCAAAAGAATAAAAGGGGCGGGGGAGGGACAGATACGCAAGAATAAATCTCTAATGGTAGAGCATTAAGCATTGGCAGGAAAGGTATTGGTGGGGAGGTTTCCTGCTGTGGTGCACCCCCACTCCTGGAAGCCTGCCTTGACTGACCACTCCTGGCTCTGCTCACTCACCACTTTGCCCCTAAAGACTTTATTGGCACAGCTTAATTTTATGCTAGGGACTATGTTCATGGACACCGTCCTTGAGTTTGGGGGAGTCAGGCACCCCTACGATGTATAGACTACAGATTCCTCAAGGCCTGAGACCCTGTCCCCTGTTTCTTTTGTACCTCACACCTTGTCCGATGGTGGTACTGAGCTTCAGCCCACAGTAAAGTGATCAATAAATATTTGAATTAATGAACAAATAAACACGAGCCTGGACAGGTGAGACTGACTTACTGATGGCTCCAAAGCCTGCCCTTGACTTTATAATCTTCATGAAAAACAAGTTGGTGAACCTAGCATCTTAAGTTGGACCTAGCTGAGTCCAACTAGCACAGTTGGAACTGGGGAGAGGGTTCTGAGCAGTCCAGTTCTGTCTGGTAATCACAGGTAGGTAGGTAGGTGGGTGGGCAAGTAGGCAGGTAGATAGCAATCTGGAGGGACAATCCCAATTTCTAATAGCCTGCTCCATTGTCCCCATACATTGACTCATAAATGTCAGGTGACATATATGTCCCTGCTCTGCCTGGGTGCTGGGATCACCATGAATATGCCCACCCCCGGGGTTCCCACGTCCAGGAGCCTTAGAACACAGTGAGATGACCGGGCCAGCAACGCTGAGCAGCCTGCGTTCTGTCTCCGACTATTGTGAATCCCCCATAGGGCCTCCCCACAGCCAAAGTGCTAACAAAAGACTCTACTTGAGGGTGTTTTACAACAGAATGGTGTTCCACAAAGGCACAGCTACTAATACAGCTCGAAAGAGAGAAAAATGAAAGAAGGAAGGGAAGGAGGAAGGCAAGAAAAACAACTTTCTTAGGTAATAGAGATGAAAAATAATGCCAGAATTTACTATAAATAACATCCTAAAGATTCAACTCTAGGGGCCGCCCCGTGGTATAGTGGTTAAGTGCGCGCACTCCGCTACTGGCTGCCCAGGTTTGGATCCCGGGCGCGCACCGAGGCATCGCTTGTCAGGCCATGCTGTGGCCGCCTCCAATATAAAGTGGAGGAAGATAGGCACGGATGTTAGCCCAGGGCCAGTCTTCCTCAGCAAAATAGAGGAGGATTGGCATGGATGTTAGCTCAGGGCTGATCTTCCTCACACACACAAAAAAGATTTGACTCTGAACAGAGGCATTCTCAACATCTTCCTTTTAATTTGTTTTCATCTGAATACCTTCTTGCTCTATGAAAGGGAAGGGCCAGAGGAGAGGGATCCCATCTTGAAGTTCTAATGTAGCTGGTGCCTGGAGGAATGAATCCCCTGCACAGTCTCAGGAGATGGCCGTCACAGACCATCTCCTCCAGGTCACATTTTCACAGCTACCGGTACACACAAGTCTGCAGGCAGTGCTCCTTAACAAAACCTTGACTAGCAGACAGTTGGAGCACAGCCTGGTTTCCTGAGCTCACCGTGGACTCCAGTGGCCCAGCCAGAGGTCTTTCTTTAAAATGGGGAGAGACTCAAACCTTGATCTATCTCTGGGATACAGTAAGCTCAGGCTTAACTCTTCAAACAAACAAACAAACAAACAAACAAAAGGTGACTAACAGGGCTGGCCTGGTGGCGTAGCGGTTAAGTGCGCCGTGCTCCGCTTCGGCAGGCCAGGGTTCAAGGTTCAGATCCCAGGTGCGCACAGATGCACTGCTTGTCAAGCCATGCTGTGGCGGCGTCCCATATAAAGTAGAGGAAGATGGGCATGATGTTAGCTCAGGGTTAATCTTCCTCACCAAAAAGAAGAGGATTGGCAACAGATGTTAGCTCAGAGTTAATCTTCCTCACACACACAAAAAAAGGTGACTAACTCCATTTTACTTCAAAATCTTCATTTCATATAAAGTATGATCATATAATATTCAATTTAACAAACTTTGATGGAGCATCTGGTGCTAAGCCCTGGGAGTAAGAGATGATTAAGCCAGGTCTTGTCCATGAGGAGCACACAGTTTGTTGGGAAAGACATGTAAATAAATACATACAGCATTTGGACATTTCTTTATAAGTGTAAGCTAGTTATTGAGTACTTACTATGTGCCAAGCACTGTTCTAAGCCCTATAAGAACATTAACTCGTTAATCCTCATAACATTTTACAAATGAAGAAACTGAGGCACAGAGAGGTTAAGTAACCGGCCAGCTAGTAAGCGTGGAAGTGGGATTAGAACCCAGGAAGCAGGCCCCAGAGGCCGTGTGTTTCATCACTGTGCTGCAGTAAAGAGAAGAAAGTGAGATGGGAACCCAGGTGAGAGGACAGTCCGTTCATTGTTCCAGGGGAGGTGTGTCTAGGGCATTACTGAGATGCGGTGATGTTTGAGCTGGGTGCTGCAGAGTGAATTTTGTCAGTCCATCTTTCTTCACTTTACCAAATGGCACTGTCCTTCCTAATTTCCCACATAAATGTTTGAGAAGGAGTCAAGTTTTACCACTGGTTGTCATAATTCTAAGGGATGACCCTACAGAGCATTCCTTTGCTGTACTGAGTTCACCTTTGGAGTGAGAAGTAGATTGAAAGGGTGTTAGGGACTTTAGAATAGGAAATGCCTTTGAGTCTTGCTGAACCTTGCCACTCTGTGTTATTGATCTGGAATCTCATTTTCACCCCACAGCTGCAATGTCAAGGTCTACCCCCGTCTCTCCCTCTCTGGATGCAGCACCCAGGATGTGCCAACATTCCTCCTCTTGACCAGCATTCAGTGTCTAGTATGACCTGGCTGTAATACCACAGGTCTCCATTAGGGGTCGCTGACGACAGCGGGACGGGACACCTGTAGTTGAATGGAGAGAACCCGGGGTTCTAACTTAACCTTTCCTTTGGCTTCCTCTGTGACCTCGGTTTCCTCATCCGTAAAATGGATATAACACTCCCTACCTGCCTTCCTCACAGAACAGTGGTGAGAAATGTGAGGA